TTGTATACACGGACTGTACTTGTATACACGGACTGTACTTGTATACATGGACTGTACTTGTATACATGGACTGTACTTGTATACACGGACTGTACTTGTGTAACGCCTTTCTATCTTATTGAGACACTCAGAGCTCTTTACTACAATCTGTGCCTCATTGACCCATTCACACAGCTCTATACTAGATCTTTACAAAGATAATTGAACAAATCATTCTAAAGAGACTAATCAGAGCTTTAGATCACATTCATACACTGATGGGACACACATCAGAGGTGATGAGGGGTTCAGTGTCTTGCCCAGGGACACTTCAGCATGTGACTGCTGGTGGATTTGAACCCCCAACTCTTGCACTGGAGGACGACTGCTCTAACCACTGAGCCACAGCTGCACAACTGTACCAACTGCCATTTTGGTGTGGCCACATCGAGGTGTAAGAACGGTCCCTATAAATGCATGTTGCATCTTTGCACACACACACACAATAGACGTGTGTGCATGTGAAACCATTCTGAAGTGCAGTTAAAAAGGGTAGTGTTGCGCCTTTTAAAATCCTGTTTCACCGCGTTCTAAATGTTCATGAAGTTTCAAGCCTTGAAAAGCCAACGTGCCACTGAGCAGAACAAAGCTTGGACTTGAAGACCCGAGCACCAACGTGTTTTCAGACCTGATGAACTCACCAGGAAACTGAACACCAAGGAAGCGAGGCAAAGCAGGCGTGTACAAAGCTCACAGTAAAAGCCTCTTCTAAATCATCGGTAAGTTTTATTACAAAGAAATCATCAGAAGACGTCGGGGACAACCAAGCCAAAGGTTGAAGTGGCCAACCTGAACAGTGCCTGTGTAAAAATATCTTCATCCTGCCATCATCACCAGGGGACTACAAAACTGTAAATATTTACCAGCTGGGCAGTTTGAGGCTGACAACAGAGCTCTAGGGCCACGCTAAGAAAAAACAGAAAAGCCATTAAATTATGAGAATAAAGTCGTACGAGGATTTTACGGTTATTATTTTTAATGAGTTGGATCCATGACGCGACCTGTCAATCAATCCAGTAGGCGTGTCAGCAAATGACCAATCCGAAGCTAAACGAGTGGGAAATGAAGGGCTGCACTGGGAGTGCCTCCAACACGAGTCACTGTTATGAAGTCGTCCTCGATCACGTTTGGGTCATTGTTTGTGAACGCCTCCGTCCGCACCACGTCACGACTACACCCATTAATCACAACAACACGGCTGCAGCTCATCGTAACGCTCAACGTTCCTCATTTGACCACGCGCCTGCTGGATTGATGGACAGGTCGTGTCCTGGATCTGACTCCAGGAAAAAAAATCAAGAGCTGCAAAAAGTCTCATAAGATTATTCTTGTAATATTATTTATTTTTTTAGCGCGACCCTAAAGCTCCGTTGTAGAGACTAAATGTGTTAACCTCAAGCAAAGAAGAATTAAAACTAAGAGCAACATAAAACATGTTACTTCTACAGGAGCAAGTTAAAATTAGCAGTCATCACATGACACTTTAAAACTGTATACATGTATATATTTATATATAGTACGTGAAAATGTACAAACCAGAATATATGAAAAAACAAGTGTTAATGGAAGGAAAAACAAATTAAAACGCCCAACTTTAAAATAACCTCGCTGCATTAACACATGGTAAACCATAAAATGGGAAAGATGCATAAAAGTATAAACATTTGCTGTTTGTGTGTGATGATGTGTGTGGAGTGATGGGACCATCCATCGATTCATCTTCATCACCCGTTGCTTTGATGTGAGCAGAGAAAACAAACCCCTCTGGTTCTGAACTTTTGGAAACGGAGTGAAACGATGAGGTTCTTCTCCAGGAGCAGAGCACGTCGCTACGCTACGCTACAACAACAGGCTGCTATAAATAACATCATGAGCGACAGGAAGTGAGTTTGGTCCAAGTAAAATGCTAAAAATGCAGAGGACAAAGTTCATTGTGTACGTTCTCCAAGTACTAAAGTAGCAACATCCATCTTATCCAGCGTGTGTGCAGGTGGAGCTCAGAGAGGCACGACACGTGCTCATGGACGGAGACGGCCTCGTCCGTCCAGAAGCTGCAGAGCAGCGACGACGACGGCGCGCTCGGTGGCTTCTGCACCGCGGGGGTCCTCAGATCTGTGGAGCCGGGCTGTGGTCTGAGGTCAGGAAGTGTGGTACTCAGACACGATCATCACTGGAGCTGGACTCTGTACGCACAGATCAGGAGCTTGACCTGAAAAAACAAAACATACAAAAATCAACGAGTAAACGGACGAGAAACTGGAGGAGGAGGTCAAAACCAGCCCAGAGATCTGTGTCCAGAAGAACGCAGTCCTGGAAACAGTGAAGAACCTGGAGCTCACAGAGAAGCAGAACATGTGGATCAGAACCAGCACGCTGCTTTTTATTACAGAACTGCACAAGTTCTCACATGAATGGACCGACCTGTGGATGAACGGTGGAGGGAGAAGCAGCTCGACATTTTGTTGTAAATGCAGACAGACTGCGATCGCCGTCACTACTCAAGACTCTGTCGTGTATTTCTGTCACGTCCACGTGACAACCACAGAAAAGTGCAGGGGCCTCGTGCACGAAGGCGTGCGCGGACACGCCACCATCTAAACATGCACATCAGGACTTCATTGGTGAAGAACAAAAAGAGGGCGGCCGGCAGGTGAGGAGGGGGTGCAGTGGGGGGGTCTGTGGGTCCTGCTCCCCCACAAACTTTAAATAAAGTAGATGCCACTTCCTGTATTTTAATGGTTTTAAACGTGTGTTTACCTACATCTGTAAACACTTGATGTATTAGAGCAACAGCTCTGTCCTTGTGTGTGAACAGAGCAGCTCCACTTCTGTCAAGTGTCCCACAGCCCCCCCCCCCCCCGTGGTTCTGAGCCCGACTCTTCTGTTGAGTTCAGTCCTGCGTGTTGCTGCTCCTGTCCGGTCCACGGCCTTCAGCTGCTTCATTCTCAGTTGTCCAACTAAGGACCATCCACCCGTTCATTTGATTCAAGTAATTTGTCTTTTCCACATTTTAATTCTTGTTATTTTGAGATTAGACCCGTTGTTTAGATACGTGATGTAATGTGACCAACACACATCAAACAGTTCTCTCATATTTATAATAAATAATAAACATTTTAGTAATAAGCCACTTAGTGTCCAACATTTGTAATTTAGTTGTGCTATTTAATTATATTTGAGTTTTTTAATTAAAATGTGCGAGGACTTTGCACTTTTATGGGCGGAGATTTGAGTTACTGGATCCGAGCAAACAGTTTCCAGAAGGCACCCTGTCAAAATAAGAGTTCCTGGATCTTGTTACGGCAGGATCTGACTCAAATGAACAGGAAGTTGACAGAACGGGAGTGGGAGTCACTTCTAAATGAGGCAGAGGTTCATAAAACGGGTCTGGCACGCTGTCCTCTGGCATGAGCTGCAAGTGAGAGGGACACTGCACAGCTGCACATGCTGTGGGATCAGAGCAGCGAACACACGCACCTGTCACATGTTAGGACCATGAAATGAATTCAGTCACCAAGAAGCGACCCATCCTGCACCATGCCAGCAGGTAGTCCGCTCCAACCACAGTTCATCAGCACCATGACTCGTGTTGAACCAGGCCAACGTTCATCCAACCGTCATTGAAACACGTTGGTCCCACTGAGCCACGAGGACTCATTTACAAGAGACACCTGAAGACCATGCTGCTTAGCTGCAGCCTGAAGCACGCTCCACTTCTACAAGCCATGTTGGTTAGCTGCTTCTGCACATCAGTATGATGTGGACACTGGCTGAATGAAATGCGTCCTGTTAACATACGCTAAACGTCTTCATGTGTGATGGAGCTGAACATCAATGCTCTGATTAAACCGTCTGTCGCTGCAAACCGTGCTCTGCTGGCCTGTTCAGCTGCATTGTGGGTAATTTGATATTTCTGGCTGACCTACGTGAAAACAGTTTCCCAGTATCAGCTCTAAGTGTCGCCAACGGACCAGTAACCACAGAAACACGTGCACCCCAGCAATGAAGCTGGCGTGGGGCTGTGCACATTTCCACGGTCATCTCGTTGTTGATACACGTGAAGCTTCGTAAGAACCAGAGTGTGAATGTGTGCACGAGGCCCCGGACGTGTTGCTGGACAGGGTTCTTGTGGGTCAGACTGGGTTCTTACATCAGATACTTTTATTAACACTTTAAACTGCAG